GTCCTCTGTTTTTTAGTGAGATTCTGCGATTAGGGGGCAGACACTTACTGCGTAGTTGAAAACCCTTTTTAAGGACAAGGTAGCGTGTTCACAACAAAGATTCTAACTCGGAACCGTAACTTCCAATGCAATTGGGTTGGTAAAATGTAATCGACGCACTAAAAAAGCTGTTTTTTTTTTCGCGATGGCGTAGGTCAGCCTTTGTGCAGAATGGTGTCTTTTGTTGGTGCCTCGTGAGCAACAAAGATACTTATTAGCCAAAATTGAAAATTTTCTAAATGTATCTAATGCTTCGGGGTCGACGTGCCAATCCAACGCTTGAGATTGGACACGTTTCAGCACCTTGGTGCCCCTGTCCGGTGACCGCATGATTTCGCCAATAGCACCAAGAACCTTTCCAAGTATCCCTCCCCTTCATCCTTGGAAAAAAAAAAAAAAGAGGACTGTGAATTAATCTAGATTACTTGGAGATCTTTTGACGCGCAACCAAATGCTCGGTCACGAGCCTTCTCCATAATAGGCCTAGTAAACTTACGGGCTCCTTGGCAGGTATATGAACTCGCCAGGTGTAAATATATACACCGACTCATGCTTACAAACAACCGGAAGGCTCCTAGCGGCACGCCACTGTCGCCGCGCATGCGCGATGGGGTGTGTGCAAGAAGTGCCTGGTTCCGCATCAACAAACCTCTGGATTGTGATGTTGGCGTCTGTGCGAGTCCCCGTACTCATTTTCGCGTTAGAATTGTTGATTCTACGTCCTCCTAGCCATGTCTGACTACTTTAGTTGCTTGAGCGAAATTAACAAGGCTCGTTGCATCGCCGCACGCCACAGTAATTAAACCTTCGTCTAATTATTGCGGCATGCGGCGATTAATTCCGCGTGAACGCCGCAGAATGGACGCTAAAGCCTGAGTGATCAGATTCTGCTCGCTATTTTCCATCGCGACGTCGCAAGGCTGCGAAAGCGTGGCAGGTAGCTGCGATGCTGGACGTCGAAACTGAAAATCGCGAGCAGAATCGGGCCATGTGAATCAGGCATAACAAGTTGGTGATGGTCATTGGTAACAATGATCAAAAGCTCTTTGTATCTACTGTTTTCACCGAGCCTACTTACCCCAAACAACCTTCAAACTTAAAAGCCTTTCGAGGACTGCACTTCTTATCGCAACGTTTGGTTTACTGGCCGCTGTCGTTTGAACAGGCAGACGGCAGTTTGAACAATCAGACGGCCGTTTGAAAATGAAGACGCACTGAACGTGGTCCGCGGGCAGTCCGGACAACTTGACGATTTTCGCGCGTTCATGTTGGAACAAAACAAATAAATATGACGACCATAAGTACCCGTGAATTCATCCCAAAGTGCTTCCCGTATAAGCAATCGTGGTTCGACGTTGTATGAATGCCCTTTTCAAGGCCCCTATTTACGTTCTCAGACGAACCGAGTAGGCAGAAAACACATGAAACCTGATCTTCACACCCTTTCCGGCACTTTTGGTACGAATTCAGTCCTGGCGTTTTGACGAAGGGGCAGGTTTTAGTCTGGTTTCTTCCAGAACAACACAGAAATGCCCGTCCCGCATGACGACTTTCGCCCCCCATCTATAGACCAGGCCGACGCCTTTAGCGGCTAAGCTTAGAACTATACTTATAAGGGCAAGAACACAACTTATTTGTGTTTCTAACACAGTGCCCGGCTGACGTATACCGAGCGCTGACGTGGCATTCATGTCCGGTCTGTGCCCTGCGCTCGATCGAGGTGCGTGACGTAGAGTCCACAGACCTTGTGTCGGGTGAACACAGAGCTCTGCGGCGATCTCGGCAATAGATTGATGAATGGATATGACTGAACTGTTTGAATAGGGTGGCGGCTTGCGCCACCTATAGCCAACGCTTCAAACAGGCAGGACAAAATGGCCCCTATATTTCGACCTTCTTGCCAATAAATAAATGCCAATCTGTAACTCGGCACTTTTAATGCGTTCAGATAGAAACCTATAGGTTATGCCATCTCACGGTAGCACTTAATCACAATTGTATGGTAACGTGTAGTTACGACATAATAATTTTGTGCGGACACTTTTTTGGTATCCCAAACAAAAAGAGAACTGCAGTCCGCACACATCTCTGAAGTGGAGCGATTCATTCCGAACAACACAGAGAACTACGATCGAAGCAGACTTGTACGTAACGGGTTACAAGTAATGGATTACTTGTAATCGATTATATTTTACTATAATTTTGTAACGCTTCAGTTACTTCCTTTAAGGGGTAACGATCCATGCAATTGAATAACTTTTTTGCTGTAATCGATTACAAAATTACACATCGCAATTTTCTTTTTTTTTTTTTTTTAAGGGGCGGACGGGAGGGGTTAGATGTTGTATAGTCACTCAGTTCTGGGCAACGGTCAATTTTTTTTTATTCGAAATCACTAAGCAAGGGACCTTGAGGATAAGTAGGCCACTTCACTATGCTTCGTTTCCTGGGTAGTTCTTTTTTTGGTACACAGGAGACTACGTCTGGGTATGAAAGACGACCTTATCCAGCCTCTTGTGAGTAGTGTATTTTAGGGCTGGGCAGAGACACTTCAAAAAGTATTCAGGAATACAAATACTGAGATACATGTGCTTTAAGGCCAAAATACAGATACTGAGATACATTTGTCTTTTATGCAACAGGATATCCCTAAGATACTTCCGCAATAACGGCAAAAAAGTATTCCAGAATACAGATACAGATACTCGTAGAAATACATTTGTTCCCGAACGGTGCTGCGTGGAGAGGGTGCAATTCGTGGCAAATGTGAAAGGTAATTTATGCTTGTGCTCCTCTTTTTGTGCCATTTTATGCACTATCCATTACCTCGAACTCTTTATCTATCACTAATTACGCTAAAAAAACATGCCACTCCCGTTGAACCTTATAGTTACAGAACGGTAAAGACTGCGTACCATGCTTGACAAATGTCGTCTGCCCGAAATAAACCCTGTTTTGCCGGGAGGGCGCATCTCAAACTGCCATATTATAAGGTTCTGAGTCACCCGTAGTGGAGGGAGACTCGACAACAGGGCCATACTTTTTCTCCACTCAATTTCTTTACAGCGTTCGCTCCGCTAAATTGGAAAGAGTGGAGGGCTTTGTGAGAGGAGTTGATTTTGTTATTCCTTGCAAGTAACCTTCTTTAAACCACTTTTTTTTTTGTTGGTGACTGAGATGGATCATATTATAGGGCAGGTTCATCTTATAAATTCCGATGCAAGTTGCACCAAACAGATGTTTTTATCCTTTAAATTTATCTGAAAAAAGGGCAACACATGTAACGAGATGCCTAAGTCGGGCAAAGTATCGCGATACACGAGATACATTGCAAATGTATTTCACTACTGAGATACAGATACATTTTACAAATGTAGTTCGATACAGAGATGCAGATACTCGAAAGCATCTCTAAGATACTATCGCGATACTGCCCAGCCCTGGTGTATTTAAACAGCTCTCTTTTTTATTTTATTTGGTTTTGTTTTCAAGAGAGGGACGGGGTGTGTTGCCGTCACTCACTCAGCTGTAAGCAAAAACAATCGAGGCTTTCTTTTTTTTATTCGGAACAATTGAGCTACCGTACTAAAAAAGTTGAATGAAAAGTAACGTGGAAAGTAATGATTACTTTAAAACAATTTTTCGATTACTTTTTTGAGGCTGTGATTTTAATTGTAATCGGTTACTTTTTACAATGAAATAATTGAAATTGGTTACTTTTTCCAGTAACGTGTACAAGTCTGGATCGAAGCCACCTTTGTAGTAATGTCATGCCCGGAATGACGTCTCCCATGCGCGCAACAATCGGGTGAGGTGATCCACGGAAGAGCTGGGACATATTTTGCCCCTGCCGACCGACAAGGAGATTCACAAGGTACATTCGTCGAACAGTCAACTCTGGCAACATGTAGATAATTGTGTCAAATGGTTTGAGTCTTTGCGATGAAATTAAGAAGTTGAGATGGTATCGGTTCGGCTTATGATATTCCGCAGGAGGATAAAGAAATTAATAGATTTCTACACTCAGCGACACAATAATTGTTATCAAGTTAAATCTAAATAAAACAAATAAAGACGCGCAAAGTAAAAAGAAAACAATTTAAAGTAACTGCACCTCTGTGTCTGTATCCAGGCACACAAAAAGTATCCTAATACTTAAAAAGCCATAATCAGGATGCGGCGGAATGCGGTTATGAGTAATCACGATCTGCCATTGTTAAGATGTCAATAAATATATCAATCAGATCAATATTTTTATCCTTGGAACAAGAAAAACACAATGAGACAAATGGTCTTTATACTGAGGTAACACTTGGAAAAAGGCCAATTTCATTTGCTTGCTATCGGGTTAAGCACCATCCAAGTAACTGTAGATTTATTAACAAAGCTTAGAGTTCACCGAACAAAAGTGCACGTTATAGGGTACTGCAAGGTTTAGTACTCTTCATGCTCCTTTTTCTGATCTATATCGTAATAGGAGTCTTTTTATTTAATGACGGTTTCAAAGCCCGATTTTTTGTTGGACGCATTCTACGAGCTTCTCAAGACCGAGATTTTCCTTCCTTGTATTTTGCGTGACAGAAAATGATTGCGACAGATGGCCTCACGTCGTCGATAGCTCATCAATCTCACACATATGTTGTGGCCGACTTCTACAACTTATTAATTTCACACAGTATAAAACCCTAAACCAAATAAAAAACACACACACAAAATTAAAGCAATCACAACACTGTTTTTTTTTAGCAAACGTCCGATTATTTTTTTTTTCGGTATACTCGAAAGATTTCTACGCTAAAGTTTGTCATCTTGTCTTATGAATTTGTTGTATTGCTTATTGCTGTGTATTTATCTTTTTTTTTTCTTATTTCGGCCATTTCTTGTGCTTACGTTATAATATGCTAGGCCAGCAGTAAAGTAATAGGAAAGCGAAAAGTGCCCCATGAGGGCTTTCCTTAAAGCCAACCTTAGTCGACTGTTACCTGGGAGAGTAGAGTGACAAATTTTTTTAACGCTATCGACCGGTAATGGTGTCACAAGACGGGTCCGTTTCAAACCTTGTCATTAAATATAATCCCACAGCTGCCACAAAAAAAATGAATGAAGCGCGGAGTTATTAAGAAGCCGGGAGTGTGGTGTAAAACGTCAAATTTATTATTAGAATTTTCCCCTGTATTTGCTTCATAGTGTTTGTTATACGTTGTTTAACCAATTCGTTGAATGTTCACATGCCGTTCCCATTGCGACGCAGTCGTTAGACTAATTCAGGAAGCGCGAGGACAAAAAAAAAAAAAAAAAAAAGGATGGCGAGCGGATAGCACACTTAGCAGAGGATGAAAAGTAAAAGTCGTCCTGCTGGGCAAGCCTGTTGCCTACTGAAAGATTTGCAATAAGACCGATGCATGTTTATAATACAGCCGAAATGTTCGTTCGGAGGCTGTCGTCGCCCTTGTTACAGAGAAATGCCATCTACAGAAAGCATGAAACAAGAACTGCCAAAAACGGTTACGGGTTCTGTGCAGCGATAACGTTTCGACTTGTTTGTCCTGGGCCCAGGCGTGGGAACTTTGGAACGCTCACTAAAAGATTGTGCAATGATGTCAATTACAGCTCCGCTTTGCGGGGATTCTTTCTCTTGTATAAGCAGTTCAATGCAAATTGGCTTGTGCTCAAGCGATAACGGGACTCGAAGCTTCATACAAAATTAACGGGTGACGGGTGACGCAGTAGTAACGGAAATGCAATACTCGTTGGGCATTTAAGATTTAAAGAATCCGCTAACGTGGTACGGAGAAACCTGACGCATTGCGAGTGAAAAAATTTCTTGTAACGCGTTACTTCCATCACTGTCCTCCCCGCCCAATCCCAAAGCCCGCTGACGCGGGCACTACAAGAAGGAAGACGCCCCCCTGGGCATCGAGACAAAGCTCGAAGCGCACTTGGCCGTACGACCGCGTGCAACGGTCCGTCCACGCCGCAGTCTGGGCGGCCGAGAGCCCAGCGTTATCGCCAGTCGCCATGCCAACACGTGCAAACAGGGGGGAACCTCACCGATGTCCAAAGGTCGCTGATAGCCGTCTATCTCCTGTACACATACACGGGCCGGCGGCGGTCCACTAGGCGGACCAATCAGCGAGTGGCTCGACCAGGCAGGAGCTGTCGGCCATTTTGAGGGCCCCGGCATCCACGAGACTCTCCTCTAGGCGCCATAAAGCCACCCGTGGGTCATCACGTCCTGGGGAGACTCCCGCTGCACTCTGACCACAGGAACCATCGTCGAGAACCTCGGCTTCTGAAAGGGACATGGAAGAACCGCAGGTTCCGCAGGCGGGGCTTCAACAGCACCAGCAGCAGCAACGTGCAGGACTGAACTCGGCCGAGCCTTCCAACAGCTGGTGAGTTAAGTCCTGATACGGATAATCAGAACCGAAAGATTACGCACTTAATGGCTCCTTGTGGGCCACTGGCCGAGCCACCGGTTTAGTAGGATGGTGCGACCCACGGTTGGTGGAATTATAATCTGCCCGGGGTCCCCGATATCCCCCGATCTTATCAGCCAGGGGCCTTATATTGGTGCTATTGGGAGGAGGGGAGGTGGTTATCAAGGTAAAGTATGGTTATGCGTTTGCGAAGCCGTATCTTGTTGCTCTTGTCGTCGAATATCCGGAGCTAAGATAGAAGTGGACAGTTTTATTTATTAAAGCCCCTGATTCCGCGGACAACATCTGCGCGAGTGTGTGCGACGGCTTCCGGTCAGCGAACTAGGCTTGGCGTGTCGATCGACGTTTTGCCGACGTGGAAGTGAATTGTGTGTTGAAGTCGTGGAACAGACTGTCTTTGAGAATTCACAAGGAGTGGGTGGAGCTTACAACACCTCTAAAGCAAAAAAAAAAAAAAAAAAAATTGTGCGAATCAAATTTGTTTATGAGGAATTTAGCAACGCAGAGTGACTGTTTACTGCAGTATCCAGACGCCGGGCTGTTTTATTTTTTCACGTATTTCAGTGAGTGTGATTTGACTAAAATAAGTGGTTGACTGACTTTGCAACGGTATTCGTTAGGAGAAATATACAATGCTTTCCACACTTCGTGACAGAAAGGCAGCATTGGAGGCTAATATAAAAACTTTGAGATTTAAATAGCAAAACCAATTTTTTTCAGAAACATTAAAGCACAAAACGTTATCATTTATATTTCCCTCAAATATAACAATAATTATGTTAATACTGTAGATACACATGCCATTTCGAGTGACCCCACCTTCGTTACTTCCATTATATGAGGGATCAAGGTGTGGAATGGAATGTAGACTAGTATATGTTATGTAGACTATATTTAGTCCACTTTTTGCACTATAACATTTTAATTACTTAAAGAATTGCAACTTCTACATCACTCAGCCAATCTGAACAAAATAAACCTATGTTTTCAGTCAGGGAGTGAACAGTAACCGTGTAAAATAAAGGGGAAGTTTGCAAATGTAAAAAAAAAGGCCGTAAACGTTATGACATCGGAAAAAAACCTTTTCCCCTGTTAAATAAAAAAGAGCCACTTATCGGCGATTATGGACAACCCAACAAAATGGTTTTGAAAAAAAAGTAAGGCTCCTGTGCTTCACCTGTCATTTTAGAGAATTTCAAGAATGCAACTTTCATATTGATCATCATTTTAGTATAGAAATGTTGCATAAAGCTAGAGTTCTCGTTGCAATTTTAATCTGACCTCTTCAAAGTTGCCACTAACGGTTTTCCGAAGTCAGTAGTTTATGATAGGCGATGGTACCTATCCACCTCAATATGCAGCACGGATAAGAGGGGAACACACGATTCTTTTACGTCTTAGCGCATGCCGTTCCCATTGCGACGCAGTCGTTAGACTAATTCAGGAAGCGCGAGGACAAAAAAAAATCCTTCGACACTGATTCCAAGGGAGTAATTGTTTTGGAACAAACATATGAAAATTAGTAACTGCGCAATCCTTCTTTGAAACCCCTCTTTATAAATTCCATCCTGTGATGTTTTAGATGCACATACGCCTGCTGCTTTTAGTCAGCGTCGTTGCATTTTCGCCTAAATATAGATACCAGTTAGTATTCGTGCTTACAAAAACCTTTGAGTGTTTCTTACTAAATAAAAACGCATTTTTACCATCATAACCTAAAATAAATTTACAGTTTTTTAACAACCTTGCGAATCGAGTTGATTTTTATTATCAACGTTTTAACTTTGCAGATCAAAGCGGTATAGATGTTCAAAAGAGGATCCTGTTGCTTTTTCTTCACAGCTTCTCTATTTAGGCGAATGAGATATTCGGTATGAGCCGATATTGCATGTTACACCTACCAAATTGGTTAAATCCAACACTCTTTCTAACATGGTAAGAATATATTAAAAAGAACCTGTTATGATACAGAATCCAGAGTGATATATGTACATATAGTTATCAAAAAACTAGTTTGTATTCAAAATGCCGCTGAACTTTCAATGCACTATTTGGACTTGCAAACGTCGGTTCAATGGTTACTCTCAATCCAAGGAGAAAGGTAAGGAAATACGGAAACCCACACAGGTAAGTGTATTATACCTGCTTAAAAACTAATCCTTAAAAACCTTGCGATTTTGATTACAAGTAATGCCACGCAGCGTTCGTCGCCATGCAGCTCTCGAAAATATTTCGCCCTGGTTTTTAGCCGCGCCACGTGTCGACGTTAGCTTTTAGAAGAGCGCAAAAACCTCACGACATCGTAGGAACATAAGCATTTTCTATGGTAAAGTGACTGACAACTTTTTAAAATATTTGCTACAAGGACAAAGCGCGCACACCCAGGAGGTTCGAAACACAAGTCTCGTTTCGAGGTTGGAGTTTAGAATGCACTGCGGTCCTTGGGGCAAAGGAGGGTCATCATTGAGCGTCTGAGGTGTAGGGGTGTAGTACATAGTCCCGTTTCGTCTGGCCTACTGCACATTTGAATAGGGGCTAGCTCTCAGCTTTTCTCCTTCACATCTTTACCGTGGGGTGGTGTCGCGTCTTCCCCTTGTAATTGCAAATAATTTTGTGAATCGTGCGATGATGGTTGGTATCCGTACCAATCAGGTCGACCCAATTACTTCTCTAGTATGCATGCATGTAGACTGGGCGACACTTTTAGCGCGATTACGACATTGGCGCTTTCCTGCACTTTACTCAGACATAGTATTGATGAGTACCAAACTTTACCGCTTAGGTTACTGCCAAAGATGTGGACTTTCCACCACAGTGGTAATTTTTCTATCAGCCGTTCAGTTTTAAGACGAAATCAATAAAGACTGCCGATCATGTTTTCGCACTAACAGTGTCACGCTGTGTGTGCAGCAATACTTGGATAGGGGTTAGCTTGCTACTTCGCTCCTTCTTGTCTTTGCCGCTGACTGACGTTAACTCCTTCGTAATTGCGAATATTTTTGGTGAATCGTGCGATGGCCACGGCGCCATGAAAGTGGCGTCTACTCCTTTACTCCCCCATCATACGTGCAAGTACGTAGGCAGTCTCCATTGTTGGTCAGCTGAGGAGACACACGCATAAAAAGAAAATGTCTCCGGGGTCCAGGTTCCCGGACCGAGCGACGGCGCATCCCTTATCGGCGGTCGAAGCCAGCTTATCGCTGCTACCGATTGAATCCATACCATTGTTCCCGAGCGCGAAGCTCAGAACAATGAAAGCTCATTTGTAACCTTGCGACCAAAGCCAAGGGTTTCTCGCAAGTGCCACGAGTTGAGCGCACAAAAAGGGTCCTTACCGTCTCGGCCACCGACACGTCACCCAGTCTACGAAAGAAGCCGACCCAGGTATAGTTTTTGGGGAGGGGCGATATATGCTCGTTCGCCCCCAGAACGCAGCGGAAACTACGTGCTTATTGTACCAGCCGTACGTCTACGTTTCGCCACGTGATCACACTGCCATCCGTACTCATGCTCAGGCAGCGGGGTCGTGCAATGAAAGGGAGGCGGCTGGTTGGTCCAATAAGCACGTAGCTCTCACCGCACAGTCAGCTCATGGCTGAACGGAGAATATGATGTTTTGCGCAGATCTAACGCTTGGCGTCACCTTGTTCCGAACGCTTCGTCCCTGTATTGAGTATGGGTACTGCCCGAATTCGGAGTAAATGTGATAGGTCCCCGTACAGCAGCTTTTGTGAAGCTCTCGAATAGAGATGGTGCTGATGGTGCTTGCCTGACGTGATGCTTTCACTGCTCATGGAAAAATTTCACGGGTTAGGGCTATGGAAGTTTAACCAGAATAAATTTACAATGAAAACAAAAAAGAAAAAAAAAAAAAAAACAGACGGGGATGAAAAGCTCTTAGATGGTGAAACGCGGGTTGACAAAAGTATAATCAAAAAACGCAAATGTCACAAGCGTTCTGCATGAAGCCAGCGGTTCTGCGGTTCGTCGTCTGGATGTCACAAGTTTGCTTGACTGGAGCGCCGCCTATTTAAAACCGGGGGCATTTCGCCAGATTAAGTATGGCCACCTCTCAAAGGAGGCCAGACGGATAAGGCGGGAGAGGATTAGACGACAAGGGTCGCGGCCACCATCTTGGACTGTTTGAACATCATGAGCACCTGCGTACCCCGCTGCATTCAGCTACATCGATGGTAATTGCGACCTTCAGGAGAATTTTTTAAAGACGCCGTAACGATTGCGCGTGAAGATACGACGACCATTATAGTTGATATATAAAACCTTGCCTTCGTTGAAACTCAGGATTGCGTTTACGTTATTTTATGTAAGAAGCTGGCGGTCATGAAACGCACAGTTCTACGTTAACAGCTTTATTAGACATCACAATGTAAGTGAGTAAGCTGCTAATCTGCTACTACTCGGAGGTTGTTGGTCACCTAAACGTAGACTAAGTCGTTTTTTTTTTCATTATAAACGGGTATTGCCGTTTATAAAGATTATAATTATAATCTTATTATATTATAATTTATAATATTGCCGTGTTTGACTGATGAGACTGGGCTTCGCGGACCCCTAGGATGCCTTCGCAGACCCCCATTTGGGAACCACTGCATTTTAGAAGTGGTGGCATTGTCCCAAGTCGAGAGACCTCAAACAACGTGACATTTCGGAATATGATCTGGCTGCCATAAATAGTTAGTTTGTTTTATTGTCAGCTAGTAGCTTTTCACGACGACCTCGACGCACTGCTAAAATCCTTAGCAGAGAGAGTATGCCTGTAGCGTGGCACACACACACGCACAAAATATATACATGTATTTATTACTATTACCCTAAAAAAACGATTTTGGTATGGAAAGAGTCAAGTGCGACGGGTCAAAGCGAGATATTTTTGAGAATGGCAGTTTTGAAAAGGGCCAGGTGAGGAGGGCGAAACGAGAACGGGTTCAAATGAG